CAGGAGCCAGGCAGGAGCCAGGCAGGAGCCAGGCAGGAGCCAGGCAGAAGCTGTTTCCTAGAGAAAAGAAACAGTCTCCACTGGCTTCTCTAATTTGGCTGCTACTTTTGTTTTCTCTGTCTACACCTTGAGTAACTCAGAATTTTGGAAGGGGTCCTGCCTCTAGGCAGGAAACAAACAAACAAACAAACAAACAAAAAAATGATAGGTAGCTAGGTGACAGTTTTTTCTAAAGGTAATAGCAGATGCATCCCATACAGGAAAGGAACCTGTGCTGTTCCAAGCCCTCTTTAGCCTATCCCGCCTTTGCCCCAACCTCTCTGGACCCCTCTGCCCTCATGTACCTTACCACCTCATGATTTGCTGCAATTACCATCTTAAATTTTGCTTCCTAGAGCCTTTTACTTTCTCATAAAAACAACCGACCAACAATAAACTCACTTAACCTTAGCAAAGGGTGAGATAGGATTTCACTTTTAAAACTATTACCATGTTTCTCTTCTTCACCAGTCCTTGCTTTTATATCCTTGGAATCAATATGTCCTCTTAATTATTTATTTTAACTCCTAACAAAAATGTGAAGTCACTCAGAGGAATACCTCTACTATCCCATCTTCTAGACAGATGCCAGGGGGCTTTGCAAATTGATCAGTATTATAGTTATATTCTGCAGAGTGGATCAGTTTGAGGTGGGAATCTGCAGTGTACAATGCACAGAAAAGCCTTCCTTCTGCAGCAGAGCATTTGAAATTGTGTTGAAATTTATGGTACCATAAACATCTGAAGGTCTCTACTGATGAGCATGTCTGGATTTCTGTAAGCTATAGGAAGGAATCCTGTTAGGTAGATCCTCCTAGGGAGGAGTTGTGATGTCAATGATGAACCTCTTGAAGATTGTTCCTTGATTTTACATGTGATCCATGTACAACAGACAGCTACAAGTAGGAACATGGTTAGGTAAAAAGAAGCATACTGTTATACACCTCCCAGCACTCATGTGGAAATGAAGGGGAAGGTATACCTCATCAAATAATTCTGTCTTACTGTTAATTCTTGTTCTTTTGCATTTCTTATTTGTAAATGACACTACATAATAAATCTACAAGTGTCTGTGTAAAGAGAATAAGATATCAAGGTTCTGGCTCTATAACTAGGTAGATCATTGCTCTATAACTAGGTAGTCATTGCTGGTCTATATTCTGTTTTTAAAGCACATAGAAAGAGGAGCATGCTTTTGGTATTGATTTGGTGAATTTTAGATGAACAGAGGCAAAAATAAGGGGTTCAGAGATAGGAGATGCTTTCTTAATGTCAGACAGTTCAATGCTAATATGCTCCCATTTGTTAGTAATCAAACAATTACCTACCTCTACTACATGGTACAGTATGACAGTGAATGGGACTTATCAGGTGTCCTAAACTGAATTGGCATGAAGGTGGTAACAGGTGAGGAAAAGGGAGGAAGAAGAAAGTGGAGTCCAATTGGATAACAGATAGCATTGTTTTGGCTGCTCTGGGAGGCACAGGAACAGCCAGTGTCACTGCTACAAGTGAGTTGAGTGCATGAAGTTCACAGGGCAAAAATGGCTAAGCCATAGGGACATGGACCTATATCAGGTATATAGTCCAAAATCATGGGAAGTTTGAATACTGAAAACAAAAGGTCATAACAAAGGGGACAGCACAATCAGACCCACTTTTAGGAAAGATTTCTTCAACTGATTGATGGAAGCATGACTTGAGAAGGGCCTGACATAAAGTTTTGTAGGCTATTTGATGAAAAGCCTGCTGCTGTAATGGAAGACAGGTTGACAGAGGAGTTAGGTCAAGTGGTGACAGGAAGAAGACATGTATCAGAGACTGTGGCCTCCACTGAGCCACACATAGATACAGGGACAAGGTTTTGGGCTTTTTTTTTTTTGTGGGAAAATAATCCCTTGCCTTGCTCAGTGTTCCAGGGTTTTCTTTTATATGGTTCTGTTAGATCTTTGCAGACCTGAAATCCTGCTAAATGTTGTCTCACCCTTCTCATTACGTGGATTAAACCTAAAACAGAGTGGATGAAATACATGTAGAAGCCCAGGCTTCCATCATCACTGAGCATGGTCTATAAACTTGCCTCTGTTAGTCATGTCTCCCATCGCTACCCAATCCTGTGTAAGTGAAGCAAGGCCACAGGCAATATATAAAGAAATGCACCTAACTATGTTGTAATAAAACTGCAATCACAGGCACAAAGTTTATATTTCAGGTTAAGTTGCACATGTAAAAAAGTATTATTTTTCTTCAATCATTTCCATACTGTAAAACCCTTCTCAACTCAGTGGCTACATGGAAGCAGGTTTATCTCATGCGTGGGCTATAAATTGCTGACTGAGCATTGTGTTCCATAGCTGATAAGATTCTTGTTCCCTTTAGTAAATAGAGATGTACAATTTATAGTTAACAAGTGTTCTCTCTCTCTCTCTCTCTCTCTCTCTCTCTCTCTCTGTCTCTCTCTCTCTCTGTCTCTCTCTCTGTCTCTCTCTTTCTGTGTCTCTCTCTGTCTCTCTCTCTCTCTCTTTCTCTCTCCTTTTCTCTCTTGTGTTTTATCTGTAGGCACAGCCAGGAAGACATTGCACTTTGAGATTTCCAAGGAAGGCAGTGATCTGTCAGTAGTGGAGCGTGCAGAAGTCTGGCTTTTCCTGAAAGTCCCCAAGGCCAACAGGACCAGAACCAAAGTCACCATCCGTCTATTTCAACAGCAGAAGCACCCACAGGGCAGCTTGGACATGGGGGATGAGGCCGAGGAAATGGGCTTAAAGGGGGAGAGGAGTGAACAGTTGCTATCAGAAAAAGTGGTTGATGCTCGGAAAAGTACCTGGCACATCTTTCCAGTGTCTAGCAGCATCCAGCACCTGCTGGACCAGGGAAAGAGTTCCCTGGATGTGAGGATTGCTTGTGAGCAGTGTCAGGAGAGTGGTGCCAGCCTAGTGCTCCTGGGCAAAAAGAAGAAGAAAGAGGTGGATGGAGATGGGAAGAAGAAAGACGGAAGTGACGGAGGGCTGGAAGAGGAAAAGGAACAGTCACACAGACCTTTCCTCATGTTGCAGGCTAGGCAGTCTGAAGACCATCCTCATCGCAGGCGTAGGCGGGGCTTGGAGTGTGATGGCAAGGTCAACATTTGCTGTAAGAAACAGTTCTTTGTCAGCTTCAAGGACATTGGCTGGAATGACTGGATCATTGCTCCCTCTGGCTATCATGCCAACTATTGTGAGGGTGAGTGTCCAAGCCACATAGCAGGCACCTCTGGGTCCTCGCTCTCCTTCCATTCAACAGTCATTAACCATTACCGCATGAGGGGTCATAGCCCCTTTGCCAACCTTAAGTCATGCTGTGTGCCCACCAAGCTGAGACCTATGTCCATGCTGTATTATGATGATGGTCAAAACATCATCAAAAAGGACATTCAGAACATGATTGTGGAGGAGTGTGGCTGCTCCTAGAGTGGTCAGGTCCCAGAGCAAGTGGATCTAGAGAGTCCAGAGAAGACAGTGGCAAAATGAAGAAAAAAAATATAAGATTTCTGAACTAAACAAAACAACCAGAAAAATAGAAATAATAATAATAAAAAACCCACAAAAAAAAAACAAAAGCTAAACTGAAAACAAGACCTAATGAAACAGATGAAGGAAGATGTGGAAAAATATCCTAAGGCAGGGCTCAGAGATGAAGCAGTGAAGGAGACAGGGATTGGGGGGAGAAGAGAGAATGGTGTACCCTTCATTTCTTCCAAAATCAAACTGATTGCATCAGTTTTATCCTAACTGGGTATTGTCCTCTCTCCTGCCTCTTGCAGTTCCCTTGCGAGCCTGGAAGTCTACTTGTCTATTCTGCAGTAATGTGGGTTAGCACAACCCAAATAATGTCTGGAAAGCCATGAGTTTTAAAGGGCCAGTCCCACCCAGTTACCCAGGTCATAAGTATGTCTATGTGACACTATCTCTGTGTATTTCAGCATACACACACACACAGGCACACACACACACATATGCACACACAAACACAGAGGTGTTTCCACACACCACGTGCATACACATATCGGTAAAAGAACAATTCTGTGCAGGTGGTTACATTTTCTTTTCTGTACCACTTTTGCCACCAGACAAAACCAACATAAAACATTGAGAACAAGAGTGGAAAGAGTGAACGACCAAGGGAAAAAGAATAAGAATACCAAGTTACATTTCGTTAAGGTGCTTATGATCTTAGAACTATGCAACCTAATAGGTTTGAAACTGTTTACCTGAAAGAGGACAAAAAGAGAGACTTTTTTGTATTGGAAGTAACCTGATTAATTTTTATTTTCTTCAAGGAGAGATACTTGAAAGGAATATGTTTGTCCATCTGTTGGATTCAAACATTTCTATATTTTGTAAATGTTGTTTTTTTATCGTTTACTATTTGCACTACAATGGTGTTTGACCTGTCTAATCCTTATTTAACAAGTATTTTCTTTGGGTGGGGGTGGGGGTGGGGCTTAAGAGCTGCACTTCATGTGAGCTATAAAAGAACTGCTACAGCACACAAAATAGCTATTTTTATTATTATAATTATAATTATTATTATTATTTTGTACCTTAAAAATAGATACATACACCAAAGACATTTGTGTGAGCCTTTAAACAGTCTGTCCGTGGTTGGTATTGTTCACCATCAAGGAGTCAGGGGTACAGATTTAAGGTTGAGTTAGGTGGATTGTATTCAGGCTTAAAAGACCTGAGAGGTTTGGGTTTTGACTCTTTTACATCCATGAAACAGGACATTTCATACTGGATGTACAGTAGTGTACACTGTTGGATTATCAAGTTCAAATTCATGAGACTACATGCTTGTATGTGTATATATACATTGCTTGTGCATATGCATACCTGTGTGTATATATACATGTATTGTACCATGTCCATACACATTTTAAGCACTTCGGGCTGTCGTTTTTAAAATGTTCTTAAAACAATGAATGTTTGTGTGCAAAACACAGTATTTTTAAGAAGGATAAGTGATAGATTTCTTTTCTTGCTTTTACTCTGTATTATGTGGGTACATTTCAAATATTAGGATGGGGAAAGACTGAAAATCCCAGTGAGTCTCCAGCCAGGCTCTCTTTAAATGTACAGGATGAAACCCCCCCTCTTTCTCACCCCTGCTCCCTACAAGTTATCCCCTGTGGGGAAAAATGGGATGTTACTTAAAAAAATGGGCTGATTTTTTTCAACTTATATTTATTATTTATTGGAATCAATCTTAAATCAGAAAAGTTTTTGAAAAAATCTTTAGGCTAGAGTAATTTTTTTGAATAGTGTTGTTACTACTTAAATAATAAAATAAGCAGGAAAGTATTTAAGACGGTGGGAGTTAAGGGAGAGAGCACTTAGGAGCCAGGAAGTAGAGTAGTTGTACAAATCTCTAATGTTCTATTTTACAGCCAAAAATCTTGCTGTGTACATTTGTATTTTTCAGAGGCAAAACTGAAAAGGTTGTCTTATAAAGATCAAAATATACACCTAACCCAAGTTCCTAATTTAGCCCAGTGCTGGCTTGTCTAGAACAGCTAATCAATTATGCATCTATGTATTTAAAATACAGAGCCTTATTTTTACCGACTTGTTTGAAGTTTGAAGAACTTTATAAAAGTGAAAAACCCTAATTGAAAAAAAACCCTATATTCCTCAGTATTTTATAAAATATTGAAGCTTTTAGCATTAAGTCAGTCCATAGATTAAAGTCATTGTAGGAAACTGAAATACAAGGGAGAAATTAAATCTTACAGAAGCTGGTTTAACTCTTAAAAAAAGAAACTAACTCAATATGTATTAAATATACTGTCAATATACCTTACCACATTAGGCTGTATGTAGGGAAACTACTTTAGTCTTGTTACTGGGCAAACATATTTACTGTGTTCCAGGGGCCCTCCCTGTCTTGTGCAGTAAATGCATGTACTGCATAAGAGATGAATTATAATTAGGGTCTAATGACCTTGAAGATCACGAATGTGGGGACAGAAGACATGGTGAGGACACACTGAGGGGAAGTAGATGTCCAGGTTCAGCTTTGCCAATTTCTATGAAAAACTTTTAGGGCCCTCTGAACTGTTCCTTTGGTACTGGAGGTAATACTGGGGCCTGTAGAAGTGGTGGGCAGAGAGATAACTGTGCCATATCAGAGATGATGTAGACCATGGGAAGAGCAGGATCTATGAAACTACTAATTACGGTTCTCGTTCATCGGAGACGAATCTGCAATCTTCTTAAGCCCTTTAAATTCTAGATGTTTTGAGGGTAAGCTTGGGTTTAATTAGTAACCATAGTAATTAAATCTAGAAAAAAAATGAAATTCCACAGGACAGTGAATTTACTGGAGATCAAGTGACTTGGTTGTCACATAAACTTCATCAGAGCTCATCAAATTTGTATGGCCTTGGAATAGAATTTAAATTGCTAATATTTTAACAATATTAGATATTATTTTGCTATAGTCAACAATTTAGAAAACACAAAGTCTTGTGAACAACTGGTCTTTTTACATAAGTGCTTAATCCAAAATTTAAAAAGCCTTTAACGCTTAAGATTTTAGTTTCTTCTTGGTGTGCTTTCCCTAGTGTTAGAGTGGCTCTGTCTGGTCTCCCAGCTTTCTCTAGGATAATTCTTAAATACCTACCCACATGAATTCTAGATGCTTTGAAGAGCATTTGTAGTTAGTATCTCTTTAAACATCAAATACTTGTAAGCTTAATTGACACTTTTCCTTCCCCAAATAAGTCAAATTTCAGCACAACTATGGGAATTTTCTTATCCTAGAGACCAGCCAATTTCATGTTCATTTAAGATTGATTCCACACTCCGTTTTCAAGGGGAAGCCTTGTGTTTTCTTTAAAGGCAGTATAAGCAAAATTGGGAGATCTGCCAACTGAACTCAAGAAGTGACTTTATGCTTTCAGAACAAACATGCCTCAGTTATAGTAACATGCATTCAAATGATCGTGTCACTTGAAAGATATGATTTCCCGTGGGCCTTTTGGCATTTTCTCTTTTTAATACAGAGAAAAACATAATCACCCCAAAACCCACATAAGTGAGACTTGTAGATGTGGGCAGGAGGTTTGGGGATGGACATTGTATGTGTTTAAATTAAACCGTGTATCACTGAGAAGCTATTGGATGGGTCGGAGATGATGCGTGCATAGATGCTGTTCACATCTTCAAGAGCAAAAGCAAATCACATGTCTCAGCTATATTATTATTTATTTTTATGCATAAAGTGAATCATTTCTTCTGTATTAATTTTCAATGGGTTTTATCCTCTATTTAAATGCTTTGAAAAACAGTGCATTGACAATGGTTGATATTTTTCTTTAAAAGAAAAATATAATTATGAAAGCCAAGATAATCTGAAATCTATTTTGTTCTAAAACTTTTTATGTTATGTGGTTGATGTTGTTTGTTTGTTTTTTTATTTTTATTTTGTGAGTTCCTTTGCATACTACATGCAATTCTTTAACCGATGTCTGTTTGGCTAATGTAATTAAAGTTGTTAATTTATATGAGTGCATTTCAACTATGTCAATGGTTTCTTAATATTTATTTTGTAGAAGTGCTGGTAATTTTTTATTTACAATATGTTTAAAGAGATAACGGTTGGATATGTTTTCATGTGTTTATAGCAGAAGTTATTTATTTCTATTCCATTCCAGCGGATATTCTGGTGTTTGCGAGGCATGCAGTCAATACTTTGTACAGTTAGTAGGCAGTATTCAGCAATGCCCGATAGCTTCTTTGGCCTTATGTTAAATAAAAAGACCTGTTTGGGATGTATTTTTTTTTTATTTTTGTTATTTGTCTACTTGTTTTTCAAGATCGATTTTCATACATATCACCACACATTTGCTAGGTGGTAATTTTGTTTCTACTGTAATTTTCCAGAAATGAGAAATATGGAGATAGAGTACAAACCTTTGAGTAAGGGAAGCCCGATAGAACAATATCTATATTGTCATGGTTGAAGCTTACCACTAAGCTACAAAGTTTATCTTATATTTATTTTGTTCTTCTTTTTTTCCTTCTCCAATCATTGTGTCTCTCACTTACAAGAAGCATATACTCTTTACCTCCCCCCCCCCAATTTTCTACTTTCTCTCCCCTTTCCATTTTGTCTGGAAAATTGGGAATATTTGGATCAATTCAAGCCAGAGAGCAATATGAATGTAAAAGAAACACACTACATTCTTTTACAATTCTAGGAAAAAGTCCATCATTGTGGGGAAGTCAAGACAGATACTTCAAAGAGCCAGCCACATCACAGCCAGCAGAAAGCAATGAATGCATGTATGCTCACTTGCTTATTTGTGCTCAGCTCAGTTTCTCCCCTCTTAAGAGTTTGGGACCTGTAGCAGAGAATCACAAAATAAATCCCAAATCCCAGTGACTTATAAATGAATTATCACTGCAAATTTTATATAGATACCATCTTAATCTAGAGAGAAAAATCCTGTAACTTAAAAAAAAATGTTGGTAATATGCAAGCACACATGCCATGCTAGGGAAGAGAGAATGTGTCATCTTTACACCCCAAACCATGTCCAGTGTGGTTT